ACCAAAGCAACAAACCAGCAGTTGGGGTGGGACTGATGTCAGAGGGGCAATGATCTGACCCATGTTTTAGTGAGAACTTTAAGAAACTATCCAAAATGACGGCTGTTAATTCACATGGCAGAAGGGGCTTTTAATGGGGTTATTTGTTGTTGATGGGTGCCTTGAAGCCACTTCCAACTTACAGGAACCCTAAGACCTATCATGGAGTTTTCTTGGGAAATTTCTTCAGTAGGGGTTTGCCATTGCCATCCTCTGGGGCTGAGAGAGTGTGACTTGCCCAAGGTGACCCAGTGGATTTCCCTGGCTAAGTCAGGATTCAAACCCCTATCTCCATAGTTCTAATCTAGTCCAACATTCAAAACCCTACACCACTCTGTGCTTCTCTCTCTCTCTCTCTCTCTCTCTTTGTTTAAGCTGGACTTAGCTTTGTGTTTTTAACAACATTTTAAATAATAAAAAAAAACTTTTAGCTATACAGTGGGCCCACGGTATCCACTGGAGTTTGGCTCCTGGATCCCCCATGGATCCCAAAATCCGTGGATGCTCAAGTCCCATTATATACAATGGCATAGTAAAATGGTATTACTTATATAAATAGCAAAATCAAGGTTTGCTTTTTGGAATTTAGATATTTTTTGAATATTTTCAAGCCATGCATGCTCGAATCAAAGGATCAAGAATCTGTGGATACGGTGGGCCGACTGTATTTTGTTTTAATTGCCTGCAAGCCACCTTGGGTCCAGAGCTGGGAGAAAGATGGAATATAAAATGAATGAATGAATAAAATAATCCAATGCAAATTGTCTCAAGGGTTTTGGGAAAAATGCAGCCAGTTTGGACTATTGCACTGAGAATACAGTCAGCCCAACTCATAGCAGAAAGGCTGCTGCACTTTCATTCATCATCCAAGCTGGTACAACTTCACCATCAGCAGCGATGGAGCCGATCCAGACAGAAGTCTGGCCTTTGCAGATTGCTGATTCATAATACACCACTTAGGTTGCCATCTGGATTGCAAATTTCTGGAAGTAAATACACTGAACTCAGTGGGACTGATGTCTGAGCAAATCTGCGGAAACCCTCAAGGGCCTTTCTGTACCTGTTGTCACTGCACATCAATGGATCATTTAATTCTATGTATAGTTGAGAGCCAGCGTGGTGTAGTGGTTTGAGTTTTTGGACTGTGACTATGGAGACCAGGGTTCGAATCCCCACTCAGCCATGGGAACCCACTGGGAGATCTTAGGCCAGTCACACTCTCTCAGCCTAAGAGGAGGCAGTGGCAAACACTGAATAAATCGTGCCAAGAACATTCACAATGGAGAGCCAGAATGGCGTAGTAGTTTGAGTGTTGGATTATGATTCCAGAGGCCCAGGTTCAATTCCCATTTCATTCACGAAACATACTAGGTGACCTTGGACAAGTCACATTCTCTCAGCCTCAGAGAAAGGCAATGGCAAAGCCCCTCTGAACAAATCCTTCCAAGAAAACTTCATAATAGGTTCACCTTTGGGTTGCCATAAGTGGGAAACAACTTAAAGCACAACACAACAGCATAGTTTAATTGCGTTTTAACAGTTACTTTTTGTACCGCTCATGGTTTGGTTTTGTCCTCTATTTGTTCTTTTTTTGTAAACTGCCTCATGTCTCAGTTGTGGGTGGAAATGAGGGCTATAACCAAATCAACCATCAACATGATGAAGGTATTTTAGATCCCATTTGGGAAACCATAATTTATGGGGAACAGATCCTTGTCCCTTGTGATGGCAAAATGAGAAGCCAAGGGTCAAGGATCTGTTTCCCATAAATTTCAGTTCCCCAAATGGGATCTAAAATACCTTGATAAAAATGATGGTTATACTTCAACATTTCAAATAAAACATGCAAGGCCTAAATCCCAACTCCTAGTCCCAATCAGAGGAGATCAATGGGATCATTATAAGTGTTGATCTCCCATGCAGCAATTGATTGAACGATATGAGTGTGACGCTGCAGCACAAAAGGCAAACAACGTTGAGCTGCATTAACAGAACCATAGTTTCCATATCAAGGGAAATAACAGTCACACTATATTCGACCTCATCTAGAGTACTGTGTTCATTCCTCGGTGACTCATTTGAAGAAGGATATACAGTGGTCCCTCCGCATTCTCAGGGGTTAGGGGTGAAGGACTCCTGTGAATGTGGGGGGGAAATGCAAATAAAAAACCCACACTATTATTTTTACTTAAGAAACCACATCTCTAGTAATCTTCAGGTCATCCAGTGAAACTCTATGGTCAACATCTGCCAGAAGTTGGTCATGCTGGAGGACCTACAAATGCCTAGAGAAGTATTTTCTCTAGGAACTTCTAGGTTCTCCAGCTCAACTCTATGGCCAACATCTGGAAGAGTTGGGCTGGAAGACCTAGAGATTCTTAGAGAGAACATATTAATTGAAACTGCAAATGCTCAAATCTGCAAAAGTCAAAGGTGCAAATGTGGAGGGCCAACTGTAGACAAATTGGAGCAGGCTCTGAGAAGGGCAATCAGGATGATAAAGAGCTATGGAGAACAAAATGTATGAAGAAGGGTTCAAGGAGCTGGGCATGTTCAGGTTGGTGAAGAGAAGACTGACACAATCTTTAAATAATAATAAATATTTTAAAAATGGGGTTCTAAAGAGAGGAGGAGGCAGGGTTATTCTCTGCTGCCGTAAAGGTTTGGTCCAGTTCTAATGGTTTTAAGTTACAGAAGGGTAGATTTTGATTGACCATTAGAAGGAAAGTCTTGACAGTAAGGGTACTTTGGCAACGGAAGCAATTACTTAGAATGGTCTTGGTGTCTTCTTTTTTGGATGTCTTCAGAAAGAGGGCATCCTTTAGATGGCTACCTGCTTGGGGTGTTTTAGTTGGATTTCTTACATTGAGCAAAGGGTTGGATCAGGGGTAGGCAACCTTTCCCCTTTAAGGGCTGAGGGACTTCAGCTCCCAGAATCCCAGGAGCTATTGGCCAACATGGGACTATTGGCCAACATGGCTTAGGCTTCTGGGAGCTGAAGTCCCTTGGCCCTTAAAGGGGAAAAGTTGCCTACCCCTGACCTATAGGGTCCTTGCAACTCTATAGTTCTATTATTCTATAAATGGGTCTGCTCTAAGTGGTGGAAACAATTAGTTTGAAGTCTTAATAATCATGATCTTCAGAACTTCTGGGAAAAAAATCTTGGACTTCAGAGAATTTTCCCGCTGAAGATTTCAAACAACCAGAAATTGGAAGCCGAATTATTCAGTTTGACTACAATATGCTATTTACTTTTCTAACACATACAAAGCAGCTTAATAATCGCACTATCATACACATCAAACGGTACTTTTGGAAGGTGTGGGAGGAATGATTTCAGAATACATTGCAAATCAGGATTGTGCAAAACAACAACAACAACAACAACAACACTCCAAACTCCATAATGACTGAGGGATTATGAAGGTTGTGTTCTGAAACATCTGGAGAGTGTCTGGTTGTGTTGTGTGTGTTGTTTGTGTTTGTCTTCAAGTCATTTCTGGTTTATGGCAATCTTAAGGCAAACTTATAAAGTTTTCTTGGCAAGTTTCTTCAGAGTGGGTTTGCCACTGCCTCCCTCTGAGGTTGAGAGAGTGTAACTTGCCCATGGTCACCCAGTGAGTTTCCATGGTCATGCAGGAATTAAATTCCTGAGTACCTTGTCTTTTAACTCAAAGCAGAGACAAGTGGAAGGTATCAGCCTGGGAAAGTTGGTTTTCAGCCTACGGTCCGACTGAAGTCCTCCAATATTTTGGGATTTCAGCTCCCAGCATCCCTGACCACGTTGGCTGTATTAGCTGAGGCTTCTGGGTTTTAGTCCAAAATATTTGACATAATGGTTTGAGCACTGGACTATGACTCTGGAGACCAGGGTTCGATTCCCAGCTCAGCCATGAAACCCATTGGGTGACCATGGGCCAAGTACTGTTTTAAATCTGTTATTAGATGCCTTGAGTCCCTATATTGGGAGAAAGGCATAATTATCATCATCATCATCACCATCATCATCATTTTAGGGCCCTCATAAGCAGAGTGACCAGACATTCTCCTTTTCCAGGACATGTCCTACATTTCAACTTTCTGTCCAGGAAGAATTCCAAAATGTCTTCCATTCGGAGCATGACTAAGATGACACTGAGTGGCACCACGTTTGCTTTTCCCCTTTGAGAAATTCATCTATTTGGCAGCCTTTCCTTGCTGCAAATAGGGGATAGGATGGATCCTTCTAAAGTCCTTTCTTTTCCTTAGAAGCAGCAGCAGCAGACAAGATTCGCACCCAGAGCTGGGGCACATTTGTTTCTTGGAGGGGAAAAGGACAGCAAACATGTTAAGCAATGGGTTGCTTGAAGACAATGCAAATGTTGAAAGGGATTCCCCCCTTAA